TTCTTATCACTTTGCTGCCATTTGTCCTGCTGGTATGATCCAGCAATACCCAATGCCTGTACTGTTTACACCGTTGTGAGTACGCATTTTTTATATAATAAATTGCATTTTATTGGACGTTACGCACTATGTCCTTGTCCTTTTTCTCTTTCCACCTGGATTTATACTGGTACCTGTGATCTGAGGAGACCTTATCGCCTTTTTCTGTGCATGGGCTTCCCTCCCCCATTAAGAAGGGGAAAAGTGCATTTGACCTAGCTCTGTGGGTCTACCTCCCCAGGTGAGCATTCACTTGTTATCATCACTCACTGGGTGGAGATGAAGGTCTGCCTGCATTGTGTGATTATCCTTACCTGAGAGTTATATGCACATTGGCTGCGAATCATCTGAGGAATTTTTTGCACAATCACCATTGTTTGCGTTTGTTTTTTCCTTGGGACTTTTTTTGCCTATATTGCTTTTTTGTATGTGTGTAGATATTTCTTATGCCTCATTTGTTTGAAGGCTCATATATGTGACTCATTTATATATGTTTCAATTTATTAGATATGTATGATTATTAGCTCGGCACAATATTGTTTTTTCACGGTATATAAAGAGAGTTGAGAATCTCAGTCGTGTTTTAAGGGGTCACCGGTATAAAAAATTAGTGTGACATATAAAGAAAATGCATCCACAATTTAGTGGCTTGCAGGGGTACGATATAAACTCATGAGTGGGCAAAGACGCATAAGGTGTACAATATAAGACGCATGTCCGTCCACATCCTTGAGGTGGCGGCGATAAGGATAAATATATATATATATTGCCCATAGTTGAACTATTAAACATACACCTAATCTGCAATATTTCTGTGGGCATGACGCAATAAGGAAGTGTACATACAGTTGTCTGAGGCTGGACATCTTTGTATATCTCGCCCAGCACGTGTCCTTTGGAACCTTCTTTAGCTGATGATGTGCATCTCAATGCATATAAGTGTTTAGAAAGTGTCAGCTTAGTTTCGTAGTTTTGTGTTGCCCTATGTTAAAATGTAACAGATATTGCCTAGCTTTTTCAACCCAAATATAAGTAAAATGTTGCCTATTATGGGAGATTATCAGGTCTATTCACAATAGGTGAAGGGTTTGGAGAAGCAGGAGAAGTGAACAATCGAAGACAACCTAGCTCAACTGGAAAGTGAGCTTAATCGTAGAATTGTTTCAAATCAACTATTTTGACCTAGATTTTTCACTTCTGCCTTCTCCAAACCCTTCACCCTTTAGTGAATTGACCTTTTATATGTTTTAAAATACTGCAGAAGTAATGTGAATGACTGACCTCTGCATCTAACCCTAAGTGGCAGTAAAACTTAAAGTAGTATTAAGGTCTGGGCATTTTTTACCTTAA